AATGAAAGTTGCTCAACTTTTCAAACTCTACAACTTTGCTTCAAGGCACATTTTCAAATTCTGCCCCCATTTTGAAATTTGAATTTGGGGTGCATTTGAGTATTTGAATCATTTCAAAATTACTCCAAATTATATATGTAAACTTGAAAAACTTTGAATACCAAAGTTGATCCTTATTAAATAAGTTTCAACTTTGCTTTTTGTGACAACCCCAAATTCCAAATGGATTTTAAAATAGACAAACGGGGCAAAAATGACCTTTATAATTGGAATTTGAATTCAAATTTGATTTGTTTACCTTTTGACTTAACTTTGATTTTTGACCAGTAACATGTCCCATTAGGGTTATTTAAGTCAATTAACACATGGTCTCATATGATCACATGAATTTTGACTCTTGTGGTCATGATCTTTATTTAAGGTTTTGAATCACATCACATAAAATAACAACATTATGAAATAAATCTTATTTAGTGAATGCATTCAACATTTTTCTACTTTATGAATGCTTTGCAATGCATATGATGACATGTCAAATTTTAATGATAGGTCAAAACACCAGAGGTGTTACACTTAACAGATGCCCAGCTGATTTCTCGGTGACTGGGAAACTATGGAAAAGAAGACTGTGGCTTTTCCGATAGGCATTTGATGAAGCAAACAAGGGGAAGGTGTCCACACATTTTAGCCCTTGCAAACACTAGAACAGCTCTACGAGCATGAAGAGAAGACTCAGGTGATATCACAAGAATTCTTCTAACTGCAATAGCTGATCCTCTTGCTCGACAAGGCGCTAAAATGAGCGACACAATCACCCTATGCACAAGAATTCTTCTAACCACTCAAGATATTCATGGCAAAAAGATAGACCATGGAGGGTCCGGCGGAGTCAAAGGCACTTGAGGAAGCAGGCAGCAGAGAAACATAACTGAGTTGTTGAATTGCTCTCGCCAGAGTTGGAAGACATTTTATAGTCGGCCTGGAAAGATAGATCCAAACGCCTGTGAAGCAATATGCTCTCGTAAAAGTTTTGAAGCATGGGCTCATAAGATGGCAAAGACGGTGACAGACGGTAGACCCCAGATCAAGATTCTCTACCCGTGACCACGAACCTATTGGGGGTACAGGCATGATAATTTTGGAATAAAATTACTTTTATCCCAAAATTGGGGGGCATGTGTTTACACCAAAATTTAAAAAGAAGAATTGCAGGAACTCGAATGCTCCCAAAATCGTGTCATCGAGGAATCGATTGCGTAAAGATCGATATCAGCTGATTCGAATGCAGTACTAGAGTCGGCTCTCTTCAGATAGCGCCAGCAGATAACAATAAAAGCTACAGTTGGCATCAGGAAAAACATGTTGGACTCTGTAAAAAGGGAAAGATTAGGGTCCAAGTTATCTTAAATTAGGAATGTTTTCTCTTGTGTCAAAGATTGTAATGAGTCATGCTTAAATAGGATTCATGCGTAGGTTCCGGGTATAAATATTGGACCCCGGCCATTATAAAAGACACACAATCAATCAAATACAAGTTACTTGCTTTTTCGGCTCCGACCACCCCTTAGGAGTAGGAGTAGAGTAGATCTCGGCGAGTTCTTCAGCGAGTAGGGCTGCATCGGTCCGACCGACCTCTGGCTTGTCTGTAAGTATCATCATGGCTTATACTTCTGTTCGTATGGCTGCATCGATCTGGTCGACCTCCACCGCGACTTTGGTATAAGCTAGTTATCGACTCTTGTCTAGTTCAAGTACGGCTGCATCGATCCAGTCAACCTCCACTGCTCGAACTAGATTAAGGTCAAGCTATCGGCTCTATCTAAGGGCGGCATCCTTCGGTAGATTCATTAAGTTACCGATCTTGCTGATGTTTTCATTGTTATTAGTTTGCAACAACATCAATCCACCCGATCGAGATTGAATTAGATCGGCCTTATATTCTTTCAATCCGTCGTTCAGCTTTACCACAACACGATGTTTCTTACTCTGAGCGACGGATTATTCTTTATCGACTGTTTTTACTTGATCTTGATCGTGCATAGTACACGGTTAAGGCATGAATAATTTTGAAGCGGTTTGCTGGCTAGTTGAATCTAGTTTATAGTTTAACATTATGGCTGTAATGATCCGGTCGATCCCCACTGATGGCACTGTAGATTGGAAGATGCTAGTTAGTAGATTTGTTCTTGGTTAGACGTGACTTTAGTTGTTTGCTATGCCTGCATCGGCTAAATAGCCGATCAACTGTGCGTTAATGCCTACGATGTGCGTCCATGATTATTGAATCGTGAATGGATCTATGTGCTTTAAGGGTTTGATTCGTTGTCTTTTTCATGGTTGCATCAATCCGGTCGGACCCCACTGTTAGAGATAACAGGTTGAATCTGAGGAGTCCATAGGTTTGTTCATGTGAAGCAGTCGATTGTTCACACGCTGTAGTCCTTTTCACCTGAATCGGCTATTTTAGCCGATTCATCCGAGCCTTCACGTATAGCATGTCTTTCAAAAAGACTATCGAAGTACGGACGTTTTTGCGGATTCTTCAGTTTTGGTTTGTTACTATCATCATAGCTACCATCGATCCGGTCGAACGTCACTGTTGGTGGTAACAGATTAGATTCAGAGCGTTTGTAGATCCGTTCGTATTAGATAGTCGATTCGTTCGTATGCTATATCTTTTTTCTGATTAGATTCATCGGCTCAATGTTTTACACTTGATAATATCTGCCTAGCTGATGATCTCATTTACATATACGCATACTGTACATGTCAACTTAAAATCAATCGCTATCCACGAGCTTTACAGTCCGTAACAGCCGATTTCTGTGCGGATCGGCTATTTAATATCTTTTTCCGGATGGCTGCTCCTGAAGCGGCACACTTAGAACTGTCTGGGCATAGACCAGCATGTTCCACCTTAAATTACTGATAAACTTTGTTTCCTTATCAATTGCAGGGTCAAATTGACTGGCACGTCTCGAGAGGAATATGCAGGATCGACCATCCCTATGTTAAAGCTAGGCGGATCTCTAGCTCCATCGAGTAGACCCTTTTGGCTTGCTCGTGTGCCCGGCACGATTGACACATTTTCGTGTCGACAGTCGTCTTCTAGTTTGGTCACACTATGAATCTCATAATTGATGGCTTAATTATGCTAGATCGGTTGTTTTATCTCTATTCCAATCAAGCATAGTATGTATTTAAAGACATGTTTTGATCTTGGATAAACTCATTAGTTAATGAGATCTAATCTAATGACATTACCATAGCTACATCGATCCGGTCGAACCTCACTGGTAAGACTTTAGATTAGAGATTACCGATCAATAGTTTTGTTCGTGATCGAGATATGTACTCTGTTTGTTTGCTATGCATGCATAGGCTATTTTAGTCGATTCGTCTGTGCTTTCACAGATATGGCACGCTTTCATAAACCTATTGATATATAGTCGGTTTTATGGATTTTCTAGTTTTAGATTATTGTCATCATCATAGCTGCATCGATCCGGTCGAACCTCAATATTAATGGTAATAAGTTAGATCTAGACAGTTCGTAGATCTGTTTATATTAAACAGTCGATTGTTTGTATGGTATATCCTTTTTATCGAATTCATTGGCTTTGCACCACGTATTGATTAAATCTAATTTAGCCAATGATGTATCTTTGACGCGTACATATTAATAGCTCAAGGGAAAGGATCGTCAAAATTGGGTGCATTGTACTCCTTATTATAAATCAATCATGACCCACGAGCATCACAATCTTTAACAGTCGATTTCTTCCCGTATCGTCTATTTAGTCGATTTTCCCATTGAGCTGCTCTCGAAACAGCATACTTGGAACTGTCTGGGCAAAACTGGCATGTTCCACTCTAAATTACTGATAAACTTTCTCTTCTTATCAATTACAGGTCAAATTGATTGGTACGCCTTCGGGATTCATATGATCGACTGATCCTGTGTTGAAGCCAAGTAGATCTCTGGATTGTTCCGGCTTGCTGCATGTCCTCAGCGCGTTCCCACGTTTTCACGCCGACACTACCTTTAATTGTCGTGCCGGGCCGTGCTGTCCCGGTGTGCCAGAACAGCGGCCAAGCACGGCCCTATGCATGGGGCCGAGCCAAAAAACCGTGATTCGTGCCACCGGGCTGCGAGCTACATGTTCATCTTTAGCTGCAGGTCGTTCAGAATTGAAAGTGTAGGGGTTATTTTGCCCTTATAGACCGGGTAATATGGTGTAAATTAATAAAAATGTAACATTATTTAAATTAATATTATTTTAGGAAAATGTACAAATAAAATGTGACTGACACAAATAATTAACATAATGTTACTATAGGTCCTATTTGGATCTATTAGCACTAAAAGTTAGCTAGTCAATAGCTAATAGTGGCTAATTTTTAGCGGAAGTTGTTTGAATCCATCTACTAATAAGTGGTTTAATAATGAGTTGAAGCCGCTCAGGCAACAACGTTTAAGTCAATCCTTCCACCCATATTATTTAGTCTAATTGTGGGAGAAAATGCGCCTTGAACACATTGCCTATACTAACTGAGATTTGTCCCAAATCGTGACTAGTTGTTATTCGTTTTGATCGATGGTCCCCTGGCCGGCGATGCCTTTGCTTCTCAAAATCTAGGAAGGTGCATATAAACTATTGCTGGCTCTGTTCAGCTGATCTAAGTCGTTTGTACTGATTTGTATAGCTAATTTATTGGAAGAGAAAAATACTGTACAATAGCTGATAAGCATGGCAGCCGAACATAGCCGTAGCTTCTATTAGCAACTTTAAACATTCTAATAAAACCAATATTTAACACACCTTTTGCTAATAATTAGTAGATATATTAGCTGCTAATTGTTTTTTAGTACTTGATCCAAACGTGACCATAATCTGTCCAAACTCCCACACGCCGGAAGGTTGACGGGCGCGCTGTATGCTACGCGTCATTGCCCTCATGCCCTGCCCCCTTCTCCCCTCCTTGGTGCATCGTCGGCGATGGATATCGTCCTTGCTTCTACGGCGGCGACATGGCTGATCAACAAGCTCCTGGACCGGCTCAGCGACTATGCCATCAAGAAGCTGCTGGGCTCCGAGGGCCTGGAAGCGGAGGCCAGCTCCCTCAGTTATGCGCTGCAGCGAGCCAGGCTCGTCCTCGGCGCCGTACCCGCCGGTGCCGCCGCAGGGACGAAGATTGGGAACGACCAGCTACTTCCGCAGATCGACCGGGTGCAGCGGCTAGCCACCGATTTGGCCAGGCACCTCGACGAGCTCGAGTACTACGACGTCAAGAAAAAGGTATACACTGCTACTTCCGCAATTTGGGGATGCGATTCAGTTTTCTTCTTTCAGCACTCGAAATCTATTTTTTTTTTCATTTGCAGACTAAATGTTTTTTTGGAGCGTTTAGCTAAATCTCTAAGTTTATCCTCGCAAAAACTAAAAAGATCTATAGGTTGCTAGACTAATTGTTGTTCGTGTCACAGACTAGCAGTTTTTAGGTACGGATAGTTGTTTAGTTTGCTGCAACAGGAAAGCTTGGGTGAGTTTAAGCTTGGCTAAACAAAAAAAAAGGGGCAACTGTAACTTCAATAAAATACCATTTTTGCAGTTTTATAAAGTAAAAGCTCTGTTCTGTCCTTTCACTCCTTTGGCTTTCTCCAAAAAGCAGGGTAATAGTAACTACCTGTTGTAAAAAAAAAAAGAATAAAAGCTAAGTAGCTAGATAAATTAGAAGATGTTAACATCTGGATGGGTGGGGGTTGATTGTGAAAGGAGTACTATGAGTCTTAACTATTAGTAACTTATTAGACACCTGATCCTAGGGCAAAGCCGAGTGATTAGCTTTCCACTGAAGCTTTTTTGACAGCTCTACATGTGGGCCATCAATTTGTCAAATTATCTCAAAATATGCTTATGCTTCACATTGCAAAACTTTGTTTACATAGTAATCGGAGGCTCTCCTGAGAGCCACACCCCTTAATTATAGGAGGAAATAAGGACTGAAATTCCCATATGGTAGATATTCCTACATATGGACTCGCAATCAGTACTTAAGTCCTATTCAACTCCTATTGTAGAGTCCAGACATGTCCAAACAGAATGAAACAAAACTTCATAGTGTTCGCTTGAAATCTAATTTTGTAGCGGAAGGTGAAATCGAATTGGACTGTGAACCAAGAGGACGATATGCTTCTGCAAGAAAATATATATATATACTGAGAACTTTTACCATGTTAAGTTAGTGTTAATAAAAATTGTAAATGTTGCAAATACTAACTCTTGATTTCTTCAATATATACACATAATGAAATGGAATTTTCAAGTATATGGAATTGACATATATTGTGAGACTTCAGACACAATTTTTAACCAGACTAATATATAGCCTTGGCAATAAGTTTATTGAGACTCATACGTATAATTTATAAAAAATGTTATTTCAGATGAATTTTCTGTGCAGATGCACATATAAGAATAAAAAGACAGGACATGGGCCCTCAAACCTTTACCGAAAAGAAACCAGAAAATATCCAAAAACAAAGAGGTGGTAGGTAGTCACCAAATGGTTGCCTGTTGATGACGATCAGTAATGGGAGTGTAATCGCTAGGTGATGCTACTAACGATTTGTGTATCTGCGTGCTGGAACTCCTGGATGGCACTTTGTCAGTGAGCGTGGTCATATGTGGCAGTTGTTTTAGGATTACAATGCCACAATTAAATAATAAGCTGTTCTATGTGCATTTTAGATCCGGTTAGTAAGGTGGTCTATTATAGGATCATGGATCTCCCAATCGGTTAACTTCAGCATGTGAAAAAGCCCCTTCAGTTTAAGCGTCCTACAGTCGATCCTTGGACGCTTAATGAACCATCCTCTCATAAGTGCTATCGCAGCTCTATTTTCGATTTCCACTATATTAATGATTTTGTGGTCGGTAAAATCTTGATCTGAATATCACCCATTGTGACCCCATTCCATTATATGGTATAGTGATTTCATTTGTATCCTTCGACATCCTAGCTACCACTTTCCATTTTGTTGTGCAGGTCAAGAAGAACCAGAAGAGCAGCAATCCATTATCCAAAATGAATTTATCCCTTACTGAATCTGGGCAGTCAAAGCCGAAATACAATAGAACAGACATAAAACAGATTAGAGATACTGTGGAACATCTGCATAGCATTTGCAATGATGTTCACAATGCTCTCTTGCTAGATAAACTGGATTCAATTAAGAAAGCTGCTCAAGATGCAAGTTCGGACAAACGTGAGACTGTGGAGAACTTTACCAAAAATCCTAGATATGAGGTGATCCCAGGGGAAGAAATGAAAGATATTTTAAAACTAATTAATAGTGCTGCGTCGAGTGATCAAGAACTTTTAGTTGTTCCAATAGTTGGTGCTGGTGGTGTTGGGAAGACAACACTTGCTCAATTGGTGTACGAAGAAGTAAAAGCACAATTCGACATGATGTTCTGGATCTATGTATCTGCTAACTTTGATGAAGTTAAGCTTACACAAGAGATTCTGGAACAAATACCTGAATGTGAGTTAAAAAATACTAAGAATCTCACTGTGCTTCAGCGTGGTATCAACAAATATCTGACCAAAAGATTTATACTTGTGCTGGATGACATGTGGGAAGAGAGTGAGGGTCGTTGGGACAAGTTATTGGCCCCGCTCAGATCTACACAGGTTAAGGGTAACATAATCTTGGTAACTACTCGGAAATTATCGGTGGCTAGGATAACTAGCAACATAGAAGCACCCATTATCTTAGATGGTATGAAAGAAAATGTATTTTTTTCGTTCTTCAAAAGATGCATATTTGGTGATGGGGACTATCAAGACCAAAGAAAGTTAATGAGCAAAGGAGACCAAAGAAAGTTACTGAATATTGCTAAGACTATAGCCACCAGATTGAAAGGCAATCCATTAGCAGCAAAAAGTGTTGGTACACTTTTGAGGAGAAATATTGATGAGGTTTATTGGAGAAGAATTCTAGATAGTGATGAGTGGAGGTTACAAGAAAGTATTGATGACATTATACCTGCACTAAAGCTCAGTTACAATCAGCTTCCATATCGTCTTCAGCTACTCTTCAGTTACTGTGCAATGTTTCCAAAGGGTTACAATTTTGACAAAGGACAGTTGATACGTACATGGATTGCTCTGGGATTTGTCATGAACGAGAGAAAGAAATTGGAGGATGAAGGAAGTGACTGTTTTGAAGATTTGGTAGACCGAAGCTTCTTTCAGAGATACGGAGAGTCACAGTATTATACTGTGCATGATTTAATGCATGATGTTGCACAAGAAGTCTCCATTAACAAATGCCTTATTATTGATGGATCAGATTTTCGAACAGTTCGGTCGTCCATCTGTCACCTTAGCATATGGACTGAGCCGGTGTACAATGAGCAGAGCATAGAACGCAATGATGACTTTGAAGAGAAGTTAGATGCTGTCCAGGATAATGTCTTGGGAAGCTTGGAGAGTTTAATTCTCGCAGGTGTATATGATGAGAACTATTCTGCTAAGTTTGTGAAGACTCTTGAGCGAGCACGTTATGTCCGGGTGCTCCAGTTAACAGCAATGCCATTCAATTCTGACATTTTACTATCCAGTATAAAAAGGTTAATCCATCTTCGCTACTTAGAGCTGAGGTGTACGTCGGATAAGCCCAAATCTTTGCCTGAGGCTATATGTAAGCTCTACCACCTACAAGTACTAGATGTTCAATATTGGAGTGGTATAAATGATTTGCCAAAGGATATGAGTAATCTTGTGAATCTACGCTATCTGCTTGTTCCGGGGTCAGGATCATTGCACTCGAAGATATCAAGAGTTGGAGAACTTAAGTTTATACAAGAACTGAAAGAATTCCAGGTTCAAGAAGCCAATGGCTTTGAGATTTCACAGCTCGGGAACATAAATGAAATCAGAGGATCACTTAGTATCCTCGGCCTTGAGACTGTCACAAAGAAGGGAGATGCAACTCGTGCAAGGATTAAAGATAAAAAGCATCTGAGGACACTTTTACTGACATGGGGGAGTGCAAGCGGAAGTACTACTAGTGTCCAGAAAGAAGTGATGGAGGGTCTTAAACCACATGAAAATCTTTCCCATCTTCTTGTCTTCAATTATGCTGGTGCTACTCCATCATGGTTAGGAGACAATTTCTCACTCAAAAATTTAGAAAGCCTCCATCTCCAGGATTGTGCAGCAGTGAGGATCCTACCACCATTCGAGAAGATGCCATTCCTGAAGAAACTGTCCTTGGTTGGTCTGCCCTGTCTGAAAAATCTCAGGATTGACTTCAACTCTGCCGGTGAGGAGGATGAGCTCGAGTTAACCGAAATTGAAATATCCAAGTGTTCAGCTTTAACATCCATAAGACTACATTCCTGCAAGGAGTTGACTAAGTTAAGCATCAATGATTGTGAGGCACTAGCTTCCTTAGAGGGCTTGCCATCTTCTGAACAACTGAAGCAGTATGTTGTCCATGGATGCCCAAAACTTCCGTCAGGTTCCATCCCAAACTGATAATTTGGTGGCAAACACTATCAAAACTAGCTGTAAGTATGGCTTCACTAAACTATGTCATGCTCGTTCCGCTTCATGGAATAATTGCTGGACATTGCATTAAATAAAGACTTCATCATAACTCATAAGAATTGCTGGACATTGCATGAAATAAAGACTTCCTCATAACTCATAACAACTCAATGTCGTAAACTGATTGGTGTACTGCTTACTTAACTGTTAATTACTCATGATTAGAAGTATGTTTCCTTCAGACTTGTGTTAAGTGCTCTTAGGGGAGTTCGTTTAAAACATAATTCAAAGTTTGTTTAAAATAAGTTAACTCAGTAAGAAGCTCCTTTTAGATCTTAGCAATTGTTCCTCTGTTATATTTAATTTTAAAGCAATATGTCGTTGCAGCAAATCAGTAAGAACATTTTAGCATTTGTGTGAAATAGGAACTCGATTAAAATAATATGTTACTGTATTAATAAACTACGAAAAGACGACATGTTCAACAGCTAAGTGTCGCGGAAATGCGTATGTTGCGTTGGATTTGCGGTCATACAAGAAGGGATCGAGTTCGGAACGGTGATATACGTGATAGATTAGGGGTAGCGCCAATTGAAGAAAAGCTTGTCCAACACCGGTTGAGATGGTTTGGACATGTGCAACGGAGACCTCTAGAGGCACCGGTGCGTAGTGGAATCTTAAGCCATGATAGTAACGTGAAGAGAGGCAGAGGAAGACCGAAGTTGACTTAGGTAGAGGCAATAAAAGGAGACTTGAAAGGATGGAATATACCCAAAGACTTAGCCTTAGATAGGAGTGCTTGGAAGATAGCTATTCACGTGCCTGAACCTTGATTGCTTCTGATGGGTTTCAACTCTAGCCTACCCCAACTTGTTTGGGACTTAAAGGCTTTGTTGTTGTATTAATAAACTGTAGCGAATAAAACAACCTTGATTTTATCATTTATGTTTTTTACATTTGTAGTTTAATTTGTGCAGTCTAAAACATGCAGTTTACCCCAGTTGTCTCAAATTTGGATTATAATTTAAAGAGACCTCGAATTTTTAAGTTGTTTTTTAAGAATTCTTAGCCATCACGAAAAGAGTGCTTGGCAACAGAAGAAATCAAATATTCTTATTCGTGACTTCTAGAATCTGATTCGGGTTATAATCCAAGGATTAGCCAAGCACTTCTAAGCAGTGTTGGCCCAATTCTCTTTTACTGCTTGTATTAGACTACTTGCTCTAAGCTTTTGCTAAGTTCATTTTTCTAAATATTTAATTTGCCCATATAGTCAAGTAGATAATCCTGACAATAATCCAGTGAATAATTTTATTCACGTGTATTTGAACTTCTGTACTAATTGTGGCAATTAGGTTGTCTTAATTCTGTATTTGGTTATACTACCATTTGATGTAAATGATGATTGACATAAGATAAATTTCATCCACAGCTCTGTAATGTTTTCCACGTTACTCCAAACTTATATCATACAGAGTCCTCCAAGTTCACTCTGTCCTTAAAAATCATTATTTCAAGACACTGCTTCCTTTGTTATTGATATTAAGATCTGATTTCAGAATAAAAGACGAGGAGGGAACCAATGGGACAATTGTGATACCTGGATGTGGGAACCTTGTTTCTGCTGAAACTACTGCTTTCGCTTCTGTCACCGGAGGCAGCTTGGACGCTTACTAGTTCATGCTGTAACGTTTTAGGTTTTGCTGTTGTATTCACTATTATTTTAGTATACTTTGTTGTCATTTTATTCACGCTACAATATATGGAGATGTTGTGCCTGATGTGTAATAATTCGGTATGCACACCGACGAAAACATTAAATAGTCTTACAATGGGGACATCTGCCCTTCTATGTTACCCAGATAAATAAATTGTTTTTTTTTTCATCGAAAACGCAAGAGACATGTGCTTCATTTTATTAAGTGTGTGATTTTATTTTAATTGTATAAGGCCGCTAGGAAGATTTGTGCTATATATTCTGGTCAAAGGAGTAAACAAACTATTTATAGTTTCCTTGTGTTTTTGCAAAACATAATTTAAATAATTGGATTGAAACCATTGTCTAAATCTATACTTATTCTCATTTACCAGGACAGTAAACTACAAGCCATGGGTTAGCCCGACTCACACAATTGCCTTACCCAGTGACTCATGGTGCTTCCTGTGGGTGAAGTCGTGGTTAGTAGTTTCATGGGTTTCTCACGGTGCTTCCGGTTGGTGAAGTCGTGGTTAGTGGTTTGATGGTTTTTTTTTATCGATGCCCTTATAATTTTTGAACTTCTGACATATACAATTACTATTCACTTTTTTTTAAACTTGACATTATAATTCTTCTTCAGTTTGACAGGTGTCATTTTCTACGTATTCGTCAGCATTGGGCCTGCGCGCAGGTGACTAAAGGCCAGTGTATTCTCGTATGGCCCAAAATACCACTGCTGCTTCTCTCCCCCACTCGCTGACTTGTGAGCCCTACACGTCAGCGTCTCCTTCAACCTCCAGCCTCCAACTCTTCCCGTCTTCTCTTGCTAAGCAGCAGCCGCCGCCGATGCCACACGGGCGAGCAGCAGCCGCCGCGGCCACAAACGCTGGTGAGTTGAGCCACCGCCGTCGCCGCGGCCACACACGCTGGTGAGCTGAGCCACAGCCACCGCGGCCATACGTGCGCGTGAGCTGAGCCGCCGCCGAGCAGCAGCCATGGGGGCGCGTGGGTGAGCTGGCGAGCCGCCACCGCTGCCACCGGAGAGATGCTGGCGGCGACCGGATATCTCTCTAGGAGGTTGCAGAGGGAAGAAGATCAAGAAGCAGGAAGATGACATGTGGGGCCCACGCGTTAGTGATAGGGAGAGAGTGGAGGATAGAGGGCATTCTCGGCAATACGAAAATACGGCGGTCTACAATGTGCCCAACTATGTGGAAAGCTTATATAATAGCATATTTTAGATAACCAAAAATTTATAATGGCTCATCTCCGAATAGGTGAATAGTAATGGTATATCTCTGAAGTTCAAAAATTATAATGGCATGTATAAAAAAAACCTAGTTTCATATGCGTAAGTAGTGAACAACATTTCAGGGCCCCACGTCGCTCCCTCTTGGGGTGACTCGGGCGGAACCCCGAGTACCCGGCGCTGCCGTCTGCATCCCCAGTTCCCTGCCTCGTCGTCGCCTGAGCGGGTCACCGGAGGCCCGTGCGACCATGAGGAAAGCGGCGACGGGGCTTCTCCCGTTGAGATCTAGGAGGAGCAACGATGACAGTAGCAGGTCCATCAGCAGTTAGCTTCCATCTCCGACGAGCGGATCCGCCTTCACCGGTCGGATCTACTAGGGGAGGCGAGATCTGGTGGGTTGATTCCTGTCCCCGGCCGCTTCAGCCCGGGCGGTGGCTGCGGAGGCGCCCTCGGGGAGGCTCATCAGTGGGCATGCACGAGGAGTTCCTGTACTTGTGCGATGATGGCATGGTGGCTCGGAGGTCACATGTGTGGAGGCACCTTGGCTCTGTGGCAAGGCCAAGCGGTGCACATGGGCATCGATGGCAACGACGATGGTCACAGGCTAATGCAGCTGTATCTAGGTGTGAAAACCATGCTAAAATGAGCAGACGTGTGTGGCGTGTTGTTTCATGCTTTGATGGCATCGGTGATGGCGATGGCAGTTGCCAGGCAGTGGTGACATGGCAGAGGCGGAGGTGTTGTGGCGTCGGGCAAGCCCGCACATGGAGGTGCGGCATCCCAGGTGCTTTAGATCTGGACACGAGCAAGTTGGTGGCATGCCGTCGCCAAGGATTTGCACAGGCCAGGTGTGAAGGCCCTTCACCTTGATGGGATGTGCTACGGTGAGTTTCGTGGCTGGTGAAGGAGTGATTTTCATTTGAGGGTGGCGATGGAGGAATCAGCGTGGGCGGAGGAGTCAGAGAGGGTGACGGGGATGGGGTTCCTGATCTTCCGTCAGGTTCAAGATAAACAACGATTTGGTCAGAGAAAGAGAGACATCAATCCGGCTTCAGATCATAAAGAACCAAACCCTACAATCTTAGCATCACGTCTCCTCTGGTTATCAACCTTGTTACAATCTGGTTGACCTCGCCAAGAAGGCTAATCCCTGCTGCGAATTGAAGAATACAAGCAAGAACGAGATAAAACGCAACTCAAATAAAGTGACAATTGCAGATGTATGATTAAGCTCTCGAATTTGGGGTTTCACAAACTGATAACGACGACTATTCAAAGATAGATTAATCTAAAGCAAAACCCAAGCCCTCACGATGGCAGCGGTGGCTGAATATAAGGTCTAAGGGTCGTCGCTCCCCCTAGACACCCCCCTAACGGGCTCTAAAATGATACACGGCCCAACGGACCAAAAGCGGTGGCGCGACACGTGACAGATTCTGGACGCTGATGTGTTTTGATGATTCCTTTTGACTCCTGTGGAATTTGGGCCTCAAACCAAAACAATTGGTTATCTTATAAAATTATCTTTCCATTTGTTAGATTATTTAACTCCGGCAATGCCTAGCAACGTGATCGCGTAGATGGATCCAGATGGTAGCACATGGGACACAAGGATTTATACTGGTTCAGTGCACGGTGACACGCTAAACCCTACTCTAGTGGTGCGGCTGCTCTTCTTGTATTCGTATGCTTGGTTACAGGGGTTGTTGCTCCTAGCTACGAGGTAGTTTGGAATGAGGCGATGGTGTCATGGTGGACGTGATGATCGCGGAGTCATTACCCCTCTGTATATAAGCAGAGGGGTAGGGTTACAACGAGGGCGATCGACACTACAGATTGGATTCCTAGTTTGTTACAACAGATCAATTATATCCTTCCATAGCTATGATGGCGGCAAATATCTTCGATACGTTGTGATCTCTAAGTTGGTGGTCACGCCTAGTCCTCGCGGGCTTCATCCTCGGTCGTCTCCTATTGATGGGCCAGAGACATGGTCGGTGAGGGTACCCCAGGCCCATATATCTGACAGTAGCCCTCGTA